CACAGTCTGGTACCAGAGACAGTGTCTGGTACCAGTGACAGGGTCTGGTACCAGAGACAGGGTCTGGTACCAGAGACAGGGTCTGGTACCGTCCAGTCATTCAGCTCCATTATCCAGTGGAGCTCCTTCAGCTCAGCCTCCTCTGAACCAATCCCATTCTCCACCCTCGGCACCGCCTGCTCTGAGCGCCTTGTTGGCACGTAATCTAGTGATTTGTGCGGGGATTACCATCAAATCTCATTTGTCTGTGGTGAATCACAGGAAGAACGGAGAGAGAGAGAGAGGGAGGGAGAGAGACACAGAGAGAGAGTTAGCAGCCGGCAGTGGCGTCCTGGTCTCAGTGTTTTGGTTTTTTAAGCTGAGATTATCAGAAGATTAAAAGGAAAATGAATCGACGTCAGTGATGAGTGACAGTGTGAGAGCAGCTGATATATATTACTGCACATATATATGTCTACATATATGACAGCGCTGTCATATATGTCTACATATATGACAGCGCTGTCATCAGAGTTAGCCTGTGTTAGCAGCGTTAGCCACAGCTAGCTCAGACACACCCTGCCGTTAATGTTGTTTCAGTCTTGACCCAGTTTTGACTCATGGACAAAAGAAGGAACACGAAGATGAAAACAGAGATAATTTAACTGGAGTTTATAACTTACTGCTGCATGTTGTATCATTTATATATTTATATGTATATATTTAAAGCTGTTTCATCATTTTTGATCTAATGGACGTTTTTATTGTCGTTGGTGAAACTGTGTAGAGACGAGGTGCGATGGTAGAAGTTGGCCACTGGTCCATCAGACCAACCTCACCTGGTCTGTGGTCCACGGTGTTGAAAGAACAGACAAACAGCAGGTGTTTTTTTCATGATATGTCAAAGGTCAACATTCTTATTTATTTATTTTTTTCTCAACGCCCCGTTCTTCCACAGTGAACATTAGTGTCTTTACACACGTGTTGATGTAAAAAGGAAGTGATGTCATCAACCGCTGTCCAATGACAGCAGTCCAACCACGGCCTCTCCACCTCACGCTCTCGTCTGGGCCGTGGTTTTTATATTTTCATAATGACATCAGCAAAACCACAAACATTACTGATTGATGAGGGACGGGGGAGAGGGGAGGGACGGGGGAGGGACAGGGGAGGGCTTCACACTCCGCTGACGCTGCTGACGAGACAACAACCTCCGAACGCTTGTGTTCCTGGTGACGCCACCGTGGGAACGAGACAACAACCTCCGAACGCTTGTGTTCCTGGTGACGCCACCGTGGGAACGTCCAGCCCTGCTGGTCCAGACTGGTCCAGACTGGTCCTGACTGGTCCAGACTGGTCTGGACTGGTCCTAACTGGTCCGGACCGGTCCAGACTGGTCCTGACTGGTCCAGTCTGGTCCTGACTGGTCCAGACTGGTCTGGACTGGTCCAGACTGGTCCTGAACCAGTTTGACTCCTTTATGTTTCCATCAAAAACTGTTTCTTCTTCTTCACCTCTAATTATTGGAACTTCAAAACTGACTTTCAAAATAAAGTTCTCCGTTGACCTCAGCAGCGACGGGACCCCCACTCAATGATGTGATGTTGGGGGTCAGGGAGGTCAGTAGGTCAGGGTGATGAACACTTCAGTACCTACAGGGGGGGCTGGAGTTCATCAGGAACTGTTTTAACATCTGGACCTGACGTGAACCTGGAACAGACACTGATGAACAAGTACTACAGTACTACAGTACTACAGTAATACTGAGTACTGAGTACTGAGTACTGAGTACTGAGTACAGTGGCAGCTGTACTGCAGAGGCCCTGGAGCCAGTCAACAAGTCCAACTGGTCCACAGACACAGAGTCCACAGACACAGAGTCCACTCATGTCCAGTCTTCA